ATGGTTTTGGTTTTATTTAATTATATTTTTCTATTTATTATCATATCATTGGGTTTTATTCTCCCTTTATTTGCCTACTGACATCATTTAAGAGTTTTCACCTTTAGATATCAGGTTCCTTTGCTGCAGGATCCCTCCTGTCCCACACAGCTGTGCTTGCAGGTCTCTCTCTGGCTCCAAGCAGGACAAGAACATCCCATTCTGTGCTTGCATTCCTCAGCCTCATGGACTGAATCCAGAAAACTGGGATTTTGCTTTGCACAGTTTGGACAAAACTGTTGGTTTATGGTTATCAAACCTGTCAAACCTGTCTCTTATCTCTACTATCAACTGGGCAATCCTGACAAATTGCACTCCTGAGCTTTCAGGTTCACTTAGGAGGCTGAATTTGGAATTTATGGCTGGTATAGTGCAATTATACCTTAAATTTTTCCAGGTTCAGAGGAGGAAGTGTGTAAAGTTACATAAAATGAAATACTTATAACACTTCAGATTGTCTCTAAATTTAAATGTTAATTTCGAAGTCTTTGTATTTTGAATCCTATAAAACTTTAAAAATCTCAAATACAGATGTTGAATGTTGAGCCTCCCTAAAAGTACCCAAAGAAAAATCAATTCAGCCCTTTGCTTTTCCTTATATATGAACCTGTTCCTGTACGAAATAGGTTTATTTTCATAAAAGCTTTTTAACATGTAAACTCTCCTTTTTGCCTTTGTTAGTGTGCATGACATTTTTGCTATATACATGCACTTTACACTTAAGTGTTTTCCAAAATGTTTTTCTGGTTGTCTAGAAGTTTACCAAGACTTAAAAAAATAAAAAATAAAATAAACCGCCCCCATTTAATATTCAATTAAAATATAAACATATATCTGTTAGTTTTACTTTAAAAACATACTTTTAATTTTCTGAATCAGCACCAGATACTGCTACCAGTTACATTATAACTTTCTGTAGTTTTATGTGCTTAGAAAAAACAAGGTTTCAGCTAAAATAACTTGGATTTGTAATTTGTTTTCATTTTCTTCTATTTACTGTCTAGCAAAGTGCTATTTGCACTGAAATTTGACATCTCAGCTGAACCATTATATTCAGCTGTAATTAGAATAAACTATCTGCATGAATTACTGTACATTGGGTTTAGAGATTTGTTTGGAGAGAACCATTTCTTACCAAAGCACAGACAGCAATTTGCTGTCTAACTTTGTACATTTGCAAAATACATTTAGTGTAAAATTAATTAGGTCATTAGAAACCTATTATCTCGTCTCAAAGAAACTGATTTTAAAAGTAAGCATGTTTTCTGTGAAAGGTGACAACTTTGCATTCAAATCTAGTTGTGATTCATTCTTCAGGTTTTGTTCTTGCTTTTCTTCATCAAAACAGAGAGGCATAAAAGCAGGTTTGAAGTAGCTCTCAGTATTGTGGTAACACTGAAAAAAAAATAATTCTTTAAAGGCCAACTTTAGTGTTTGATGACATTAATTGAGTAGAGTCCAATCCTGGAAAAATAGCATTTTCCCTCCATTTTAAGAGTTGTCCAAATACACAGCAGAATTTTAGTTAGTTCTGCAGTGTTCAGAACAAGTGCAGAAGTCAGGCTAATAGGGAAAGGTGTGTCTGTGAACTACACAAGGAAGGGGTTTTTTAAAATTAAACTGAATACTCCTGGTGACACCTGAATTGCAGCTCCAACCTAAAGCTTTTCTTGTCTCTACAGTCATGTCTCTATTGTGAAGAGATCCACCCTTGGTGAGTGTCATGGATTAAATTAGTTTATGATTTCCAATACAGGTTTGAGCATTATCTTTAGTACATGATCTGTAATGAAATTTTCAAGAAGAAAAAGAAAATCTGGGGAGTTCCAGGGCCTGTTCTCAGCTATATTTAGTCTCATACACTGTGTTTGTACTCTTTCCATACTGCTGCATTGCCTAGAGACAAATTGGCCAGTTTATGCCTTACACCAAGATTGACATTTTTATGGTGCCCAGAAGACAGAGTTTTAAAATTCTACTGTTTGAAAAATTGTCCTGATATTGAAGGGGAACAATCCGTGGTCCTGTGAAAGGGAAGGCCACAGTGAGCTACTGAGGGAGGAATAGTTCACCTGTTCAAAAAGTGCTCGAACTGAGGTCTTCTGAGCTGCTTGAGAAATCTGGGCTCCTTGGTTCCATCTGATAGAAAAAAATGCTCTCACATGGGGATATGCATTAAAGCCTGGACTAACAATAAGTCTCTGAGTGTATGTTGAGTTTAATACACAAACAACTGTTTCAGAAGACAATCCCCTTTTTTTTTTCTTTTGAGTAATTGTAAAGGATAGCTGTTTGTTTTACTTCTGTAGCTATCTCTTAGCTTTCCTTACTCTTCCTACCTCCAAATTATGACCTGACTTTTAAAAATTTATAACAATTCCAATCTTGAATATTTTGAAGCTCCAGCTGACCAGTAATGATGAAGCAGAAATGGCTCCTGTCTTGTGGGTAAACTCTCTGATGGAAGCATCTCACAGCTCTGTCAACCCAGAGAAGGCAGGGGATTGTTTCCCAATCCTTGCTTCCAGGCCCAGGTGGTGCTTCTGTCCCCATAACATCTTCTGTCCCCTGCAGCTTGTTCTTGTAGTCACCACTGAAACTTTTGCTGACTGATTCCCTCAAATAGATCCCTTCCCCCTGTCTCAGTGATTTCTTTAGTGTCTCCCTCTTTCTGTCCATTTCCAAAACAAATTATCTATAAAGAAATTGTCCATAATGAACAAGTCCTCCATGCAAGTTTTATCTTTTCATGCTCTACAATGTTTTCTCTCCACCCCTCAAAGCAGGGAACTCAGTGTAGACCCTTTTCCTCCCCAAACATGCTGTAGGCAATTTAACCAAATTCACTTCTAAACCAGATTTTTTTTCAGTACATTTCTCTGTGCTTTCTTTAAAGCCACCTGCCTAGTTTTCCCACTCTTTTGGAGACTTCCCTGCTGGGAGTCTGAATGCTGCTGATCATACAGGCAGCATTCAATTCAGAAAAACACAGCAAGCACAATTTACCTTTCAGCTTCCATCCCCTGTGTTGTGTCAGGGTTTTGTTTTTGCTTTCAGTGAATGTACAACCTTACCACAAATATTGTTTTGGCTGTCTTTAAAACATGGAAAATTTTCGTATTTTATATTCTAAATGTTTAGCACAAAACCCTAATAGACAAATCCAGTAACACTCTCAGTGTGGCAAAGAATTATTTTAAAATTAGACTACAGTATGTCAAGATATGTATAGGATAAAAGAGAAAAATAGTCATATCTCATTTACTACCTCTGTTCTGAGTCAACAAACTAGAGGAAGAGGCAAAAACTATCAGGCTTTAGTAAGAACTGTCCTGAAGTGGCTGCTTCAAGCCCCAGTCCAATGAATGTGGAATTCCATGGAGTTACAAACACAAGGCAACTTCCTTTTCAAGTAAAGGAAGGTTTTTTAGAGCAATCTGGAGAGAGTTGAATTAACACATCTTAGTCCTTAGATATTTATTAAAGGTATCTTAATAGGTACCTGTATTTTAATACTCTTTGTCTGAGACACTGTGTATTCAAATACTGAAACACTGAACTCCAGTACAAGTACAAATGCTTCATAGTGAGAAAGTGCATAATATTGATATAACCAAAACTTGGGCCCCTTCTGAGCTTTCTCAGGGTAAGACACAGCAGACTGACAGTGACTTCACAATTTTGCAGTGTAAGTTTATTTGACCATAATATTCATCTGATACGTTACAAGCTAAAATATCATTTCTGCAGAATAGTCAGAAAACAGTTAATTAGCAAAGCGCTGACCAGGCATAAACCCAGATCTCTCTAAAATGGGCAGATGACAGTAAGCTGATCCTGCAAGTTTGCTATGTTTTTAATTGTCTGCTTGTGGCAAGCTTGCCCAATATTGATGTGTATGCATGGTGCAGGCACCAGTAAGCATCCTAAAAACCTCCTCCCAGAAACCTGAGGTAAACCTGACTTCAGCTGTGCAGACAAAATGCTGTGCATCCTGCATAAGCCATGTTGTTGGGATTTTTCTTGGGGTTTGTGTTTGTTTGGTTTTTTTTTTTGAGGCATCCCTGGTAAAAGGTCTTCAATACCTGAATTCATTCAGCTGATCTCAGGGAGGCAGAAGACCACTGCAATTTTGCTTTGTCCTTTCAAAAAACCCACAGATTTTGCTGACAGGCTTCTGCTCCCAGTTTGCAGTAATTGGTGGCAAACACAAAGCTAATTCCTTATTACACAGTATTTTCAGGGGGTTAATGGCTAAGCTGTTGAATACAAAGCAGTAAGCCAATAAAGTGGCTCCTAGGAGAACAAAGATCAGTAATTCACATTCTCTAATGATGCATTTCTGGTTTGTGTTTCTTATCTCTGTTCTCCTTTTTGTAGGTTCACTTTATATAAAGTAATGCATAACTAAAAGCTGTCAATAGCAGGTTGACATAGAACACAGTGAAGATTTGGTTATTGATATCCAAGTTGTGTATGTTCATTTGTGTTGGTAGCTGTTAGGAACTGATAGTGTAGAAGAATTTTTAAAAGGGGAGACCTGAGAAAAATGAGTTATTTACAGCAGTAGAATGGACATTTCACTTAGAGGAGGAGAATGAGAGAAAATTTAACACTTTTCTCAAAGTTGTCTAGCTGCAATAAAAGAAATTCTCACCCTTTTTACCATAGAGGAGAACAGGTGAAAATAAAGTTGTTTTTACCCCCTTTGTTTTCTCTTTTTATTGAAATCCTCATTTTCATATTAGGATAATAGCATCGTATTCTTCCTTAATTGTGTATATTTGTCTCTTCATCTGGGGGGCTTTGTGTTAGCCTAAAGAAATCTGGCTGATATTGAGTTTTCTCTTACATCATCATAGGTGAGCTTTGTAATCTGAACTAATGTGCTCTTATTGCAAGAAGAGCTTGCAATAAGCTTCTTTCAGAAACCAATAATAAAAATAATAAGGACAAGAATACAGAGAAAGAAGACAGTAAGGCTCTGAAGAGTTTGGATCTTGAGTGCATCTTGAGTTTTATGGCCATTCATTTAGAAGTGTGTGTTGTAAAGAAGTAAGGTGAGCTCCTTAGAGAACTCTAAGAGAACTCCCACTTGTTTCAGAACTTTATTCCTAAGGCACTAAGTTCCTTCTGGAGTCTTTTACATACAGAAGGGCTGTCAGTTTGTGTTCCATGTCAGCTGTTCACAGCTCTGTCTTTCTAGAGTTCATAATCATTTATCACACTTATACCAGCCTGGAATGTAATGGGAGGTGGTTAACACATCGTTAGTTACTCTGCTTACAGCGTGGAAGGGAAGAGTGGGGAAGGTTTGGGAAGGGAAGGGAAGGGGAAAAGAGAGCCAGAGTACAATTTCTTTACTGTATTTATTTGAATCATATTTGAATTGATTGCTTTTCCATGGACATGGGAATTAGCAAGGAAGAGAAGGCAACATCCTTATGTGTTATTTTATAGAGATGAAATAAAAGCTATAAGAGTTTATTTTCCTTTATTTTGGCTTTTGTGCCAAGTAGTGCACAGGAGTTGTATTCTCCATATTTTCTCCCGGTGCTTGGGGGCTTTTCTTTTCTCTTACAAGGACAGTAACATGGCATTAAAAAGAGATAAAATAAATCTTGCAGAATGTCAATGCAAACTACCTCTTCTTGCCTCTTCAGGGGTTACCAACCAAAGGAAATGTGCAGGGAGTGGGTGTGCACTGCACTTCAACTTTCTAGACTGGAGGAAGTTACAGTCATGATATTTTTCAAATCAGAAATAACCCTTTTTAATTTTACGGTACATCTGGAGCTGGGGGTGTGGAATGGAGAGAGCTGCAGGTCCAGCAGCTGAAGCAGCACCTTCAGCACTGCACTGCCATCTGTTTGTTGTTTTGTTTGTGGGGGTCGATGCAGCTGTGTGATACAGGTTGGGTTATTTATGAATAGCAATGCTAACAAATTAATGACATAACAAGCCTGCTGCAAAGGCACTGACCTTTTGAAAGCAAGAGCAGTAGCACAAAAAGGTTGACTTTATTAGAATCTATTAGATGTTTTCACAGCCAGTCCCAAGGGTGGAATTTCAGATAAGTGAGAACTGCAGAGCACCTGATGAGTCATTAGGAAGGTAAACCCCATTTCATGAGAAAAATTGTATATCTGATAGCAAGACCACATGCATGAATAGTATCTTCACTGTTCTCAATGCTTCATGTTAATTTGAGCAAAATGTTGGAGGTTTTGTTTCTTGGTTGGTTTTTTTTTGTGTGCAATAAATATTTCCAAATACTGGATAAAATTAGGGTGAGTTGCCATTTTTAAATCAGTGCACTGTCCCAGAATGATTTTGGAGAGCTTCCCATCTGACTTCTCTACAGGTTGCTGTTGTCAGCTGCCAGACCTCGGGCTACTTTTGTCACTTTCATTTGATGTGGTGGGTTGGTTGTTTTTTTGGTTGTTGGGGTTTTTTGTTTGTTTGTTGGAGTTTTTTGAGTTTTTGTTTGGTTGGTTTGTTTGTTTGTTTTTATGAGCATTTTCCCTTAGTGTATTTGCTGAGTAGAAAAGGGATGAAGGTATATGAGAGCTCTTGAGGCTATTGAATATAACCCTTAAATACTTGGTTTTGAAGTTTCTGATGATTTGTACTTTGTCAATTTGACTTAAAATTACTGCTCATACTATTTTCTGTTGGAAAATACCATATTCTAGGTCAATAGAAAGTTCACTGTGATGTACTTTTTTCTGACATTCTACTGAATCATTTGTCATGTATTCTGTTATGGATGTGTGATTAGTACTTGTAAGAACAGTTTTGTGTGTCACATTTCAATAGTCCTTTTCTCCCCCAATCCTATTTCTGATGAAGTCTGTGAGAATACAGACTTGGATTTTGAACTTCACTACCATCATTATCTCATATTTCCATATGAAAATTGCTTTTCAGAACTCCAGCTGAGCCTTTGGGATGCCCCTTCTAGTTCTGTGTGCATTTTTAAGTGAGGTGAAAGCCTGCTTTTTGTTTCAACAATTATTTTTGGGTAGCTGAAATGGAGAAAAGACGATGTAGATGTATCTATATCTATATATTTTATAAAAATTAACTTGACAACGAAGGAAGTGAAAGAATATGATCTGTGGCTCGTTGATGATGCTCTTTGCTTTTTTTCCCCCTTTGGCAAGTTGGGGATCTCGTAAGCATCCACCTCCAAAAGGATGATTTCACCCTTAAAGTGTCATGACTATTGAGCAAATAAATGTCTGCTTTTTTTTCCCACTGAATCAGTTAATGGAAACAATCAGGGTGCCTATTTTGTGTGATGATCATGGATGAGAAGATTCCCAATATTGGACCCAAAAAAGAAAAAAAAAGCCTGCATTTTGTTTACCTTCCTGAAATGATCAGTGCTTTCAGAATGCAAGGTTCACTTTCAAAGCTCTTATGAATATTAATGCACTTGAAATGTCTTAGAAATATTTAGGGCAAGTAAAATTCCACAAGGATCAGTTTATTCATTATTTCCCGACTCCATAGGATAATTATGTTGACTGATTCTTTACTAAACAATAAGTCAGTGTGCTTAAATTCAGTCAAATTAAGTTAGTTGAAAAGTTTATCTGCTTATATGTGTAATTCTTTGATGGAAGTTTGAGGCAATTTCAGAGGGATGGCTTGTTAAGCCATAGTGGAGTAGAACACACTTCGTGGGAATTGTATTCTTGGCTATTCATTTAATTTTTCAAAATATCATAAATTCTTTTCCTTAAAATCTGACACATCTAAAGTTTAACAGTGTTTGCTAAATATTTTGCAATCTGGGTAAGGAAACTTTACAGGATGGTGAACAAACCCACTAACACTCCTTACACATGCAATCAGCAAGACTTGCAAGGTAAAGGGGTAAAAAAAAAAAAGCATGAGAGACCCTTGAGCTTAGTTTTCATGAGGAAGGAAGCTCATGAATCTGCCTGAGCCATGGGGGGGGAAATGAGGCAGAGCTGCTTTGCTTTTTGGGTTTTATTTCAGAGATAGGGCTTGTAGTAAAAGACTACTTGTATTCAGGGTTTTTTAAGTCATTTGAGGATAAAAAGTAAAAAAAACTGTGTAAGAAGAGTTCCTGGTGAAATGTGAGAAAAGGTGAAATCTCACAGAAAATGTAGAATAAACCTGTGAGAGGTGAAAGACTCAAATGAGCCCAGAATAGTTTTTTTCTTTATTCATCCTGGTGTTCTCCTCCAAAAGAATGGAAAGATTGACTCTAAAGTCACAGCAAATGTGACTGATCTGGTGTTGTATCAACAGCACAATGGTGCATAATCCACAGATTGGGTGGTTCAGGATAACCAGACAAAACACACATTACCTGTCACAGGAGAAACCTTTGGGTTTAAAACAATGGTAAATATCCTTTCCAGTGAAACACAGTTCAGGCAAAGATCAGGGTTATAAACTCCCATTTGAGGAATGTTGCTGTTATTGTGTATTATTGTCAAGAAAAGAATGACCTAAACAGAGACAAGACAGCTTGATTTAACTTCATATAAACTTCTTAGTGTATTGCATTCATTAATCTTGGATGCTGTCTCTAAAAATAGCACTTGAAAGTGCCTATCAATTAGATTTTATGACATGAAAATGTCATTTCTGAAAGAATCGGATATTATACGAGATATGACAGTGCCCAGAACCAAATTGGGAGCAAAACATTTCTATCTTTCCCTTAGGCATGGACTGAACTCTTACTTTGGATATAGGTTAAGTTATATAGACTTAATAGCTGGTTCATTTTGTTTGGTTTGGTGTTGGTTTGGTTTTGTTGTTTTTTTTTTTGACTGATTTCAAGGTCATTAAAATACCATTCAAAAGGTGTCTCCAATTTCAATTGCCTGTTTTTGTGCAACAGATTAAATTCAGGAATGAGAGAAATTGTAAATCAAGCAGAATTATAGCAAATTTACAATGTAGTAGAAAGGATAGGAAAGATGTTCTGAAAAGTGGTTTCTTGTGGGCATATGGGAAATTAACATTAAAAAAACCTAAGCACATGTTTGTGTTAAAATTTATAAAGGATGGTTAAGTCATAATAAAAAGATATCATTGTAATAATATTGCAACTGTAATAAGGGTATCAAGTGCCGTACACTCAGTGAAAGCAAAATGTGGTGAAAGTCATCTAGATTGGATCCTTTATATAATACAAATATTTTCAATCATTAATGGCTTCTTGTTATTGTATTGAGTCCCAGCTCAGTGTACATTGAAATGAGGGTCATTGAAAGTACACAGAACTGAAGGCAAAAACTTCTATCCTTGAGTTTTACTGGGATTTTGATATAACTGCAAAAGTGTTCTAGAGTTGCTGATATTACCTGAGATCTCTGATTTTGCTTCTGTTCACTTACACTCTTGCATTTGGTGTTCAAGTGTATTTTATGCTGGAATTCAGCACACAGAAGACCATAGCTGTGAGCAGTCCAGCAGGCTGGAGCTGGCTCTGGTGAGATTAATGCAAATAAATGCATTGGTTCTCCCTGGTCAAGCTTTTTACAGTTCATCTGTTTGCACTGAATACAATGGCTAAAAAAATAGTAAGTAAAAATTACTTTATAATGCTGAAGTTAAAGGTTTGTTTTTTTTTTCAGCTAAATCTTAATGTGAAAAAGGATGATGTCTGTTTCTTGTCTATGCTATAATTTTTACCATCCTGGGTCATCTCAGCTGTTCTTAACTTCCTCTTTAACTGAGGGATTTTATTTTTCTTTTTCTTAAAGATAACTAAATAAAGCTAGAAATCCATTCAGTGAAGTTTTGGAATCAAATACTTTTCATTCTGTATTCTCTGCTTACACATGCTGCAGGAGGAGGATTCTTTTGGCAAGTGAGGGAAAAAAGGAGTGAATTTGCAGGAGTCTCTCGGTGCTCCCAGTGCATCAGCTGATGAGCTACTTGCAAAGTCTTGCTGAAAGTGAACCTGCAGGTGCATCTCCTCACTCATACTCTAATTTTGTGATTTTGTTGGAGTCCAGCAGCACTTGGGAAACGGCATTGCCATTGCAGTACAACAGGGGGTTGTGCTGCTCAGGGCAGGATTTGGTTCAGGATTTCCTGTGATCAGATTTAAAGCTGCAAAAGCTTGAAGAAAAGCTGCCTGGCCAACACTTGCTCACCGAAGATTTTTGTTTCAAAGCTTTTGTATCTACTGAGAGTTAAATGGGGGTCAGTGGAGAATTTAAAGTTGAGAATTAATTAGAGGAGGGTGAAGCAGTAAAACACTTGGTGGAGGAAATCATTGAGGACATCGGTGAAGGGCAGAGAAGTCAAATATTAAAAAGAGGTAAGTTATTGTAGAAAATATACTAAAATGACACTGTGAAAGTCCCACCTAGTCATTCTTAGCATGAAATAATGTGTTAGAATTATATGTGTCAAGTACATAAGATTATGGTCACTCACTACTTGACAATAGTGGCAGAAATACCTGTGTGATCTGGTAATACACACTTAATAACTGAATTGCAGAGAACTTATTTTGCTAATAAGTCAACACATTCTTTAGAAACTAAAGGGAAAGAGAAAGCCTTTAAAAATTTTACTAGAATATTTTACAGAATAACACAGCTAGTACTGTGCCTTACTATTAATTAATAACCCCAAATCTGGTTATCAGGTGGAATCTTGGCACCACTGAGATTGATGGTAAAAATTCTGTTGTTGTATTGGGAAAATAATTTTATTGGGAGAATAATTTCATATTTTTAATCAGTTTTTGCCAGATATATGGTGCCTTTACCAGTGCCTTTGCACATTCTTTTTTTTTCAATCTTGAATTAATCTATCACACTAGAACATGTTGTGAATGTCAAAGGATACTGTACATCAGCATACATAGTGATACAGAAGGAATTAGCATATTCTCATGAAAGATAATAATGTAGTGTTAGGAAATCAGTCCTAGACATGTCAATGATGAGTGACAGGAACTCACATTGCACTGGATAGGCAGATGTTGTGAATAATAGTTTGCTTAGTGAGTGTAGACATTTCTGTGTCTCAGCTGGGCCTGCAGGTTTCAAAGGAAGGTCTCAAATGCTTGTTTTTCTTTCTATTGCATCTTGATTAGTTTGATGCAAACTGAAGATTGGAGGGAGATGATATGGACTGTACTAAAGGCACTGAAGATAATCAGTAAATGTGGTCTTTCAGCCATTCCTCTCCCCAGTCATCCTTTAAGCCAATATAGCTGTGGCTGGATTTGTGCAATGTTTTAAAGCCCATCTGCACTCACACCTGAGCCCAAGCTGAATGTACTTACTTAATCTCGTGTAGACTTGATTTATATGCTGGTAGGCGACGAAAGAGTGAACTGGGAAAGTATTTAATTCTAGTTCTTGGTGTGCTGCCATTAGTAAAAAAAAAACAAACAAACAAAACCCCTCAAAATGTGGTGTCCTGCTGTGACTGTTTATTTCCCTTCACCATAGGACAGCTTTCCAGATTCCTCTTCCTTCTTTCTTGTGAAATGGAAGACACCATCACAAGACAACCTCTAATGGAGTCTCTGCTGAATTCTGCCATCAAGAGCACACTGATTTCTGACTTCCAAGGCTCACTCTTGGGGACTTTCTTGCATTAAATAATATTTTGAGGAAAACTAGCTTTTGAATGTCACAGTGTTGCTTATTAGTGGTTGGTAGGTGTCAATGTGCTAATAGACACCTAGCCTTCAAAAAAAATCAATAAATCTCAGCAGCAAAGAGAAAGTTTTGCTGTTTGCATTATTCTGGCTGCAGCACAGTGGATCTGAGGAACCCAGGGGTGGGAGAGAGAAATGGTGCTTTCAATAAGGATTACTGGTGGGAGAAAAGGGAGGGACAGGAATAGTGTCTGCAAAGAAAATATAACAAGAAGAGAGCTTTTAGCTCAGCCAGGATCACAGAGAACATGGAGAGGATGCAAAGGCAGACCACAGAACTGATGAAAGCAAGAATTCTTTCAGTTCTTCTAAGTGAACTGTAAAAGATGTATTGGAATGAGAAAGCCATTGAAAAGTCATTTCATTGACAACCCAAAGGAGAAGACCCCTCTTGAAAAGGTGTGGTAAGCACTTAACCCATTTTATTTTTGTATTTTTTCTATAATATGCTTCGTTTTCTTTCATTGACAGCGGTCATTGTTCTCACACCTGCTCTGATGTGACAATAACATGTACAATAAAACCTTGCCAGGGAGTTTATAAAACTTTTTTGGTAGACTTGTATGTTTGATGTTAACAAAAAGTGAAAGTAGTACCCCTATTTCTTTATTACTTCAATCAAGTAAAATATTAATATTTTGAATATGATAAATAATGGTGCTTTTTCTTTCTTCCACCCTCAAAATTAAAGATGCATTGCATCAGTGATAATCTTGATAAAAAAATAATCTCTTTTTATGAAAGTCTTTTGCTGTTTAAGCAGAGGAATGGATTCAGAGAGAATAAAAGCTCTAAATCTGTTTTAAATGTTTTCACTTTTTTTACGACCCAACATTACAAAGCCAGTAGACAAAGTAATAAACTCTGTGTGTTTCAAGTATTCTACACTCTCTCCTGATTATCCCAGTGTAGCTTTATTTTCCTATTCACTTGTTGTCAAGGAATTCAGTCATTAACAACTGATGTCTGAAGGTGCCATCAGCCCAGTGACTTGATGGTGTCAATAAAATTTGTACAAGGCTCCAATCTCAGAAACTACTGGATTGACTCAGTCTAAATAAAGTAATATTACCTGAGACAGTAAACCAAGAACATTTAGGGAATCTTGTTAAAAAACAAGTAAAATGCTAAGAAATTTTATTTTCTAGAGGGAGATAGAAGTCCAGAGATGAGCAGAGATTATGTCTGACCTCTGAGATTCCATGGCAGAGCATTTTTATTGACCAGTTCTTTTTAACTGTGGTGGCAGAACTGGGGATATGGTGTTTGTCAAGGCCTTGCCAACTCATGCTGTGTTGTGTTTCTTTGCCTGCAGCTAAGTTTATTGCTCATTCAAAGCCCAAAATAAATAATAAAATAGAGCGAATGTAATCTTGGAATAAAAAAAACACAAAACCCCAAGAAACTGGACTATGCAGTCTACTAAGGCTTTCTGAATAAACACGAACCTAAACACTTGAATTTAAACAAAATGCTACTCCTATTTCTGTAAATGATCCATCTTTCTCACACAAAGAATTAAAAAGTATTAAACTCTCTTATTAAAGAGCTCATACTGTGGGATTCTGATGATCTCTCAATATTTTGTGACCTCAGAAACCGTTTCCTCTTCTTTTCTAAACAAAGCTGTTGAAACTTAAAACAAGCTCCCTCATGCACATCTGCAAACAAGTCAAAATAAACCTTTGCTTACATGACTTTTGGTCTGAGACTATCAAAATTTTCTATTTTAGATTAAAATCTTTAGTTCTTTAGATGAAATAACTTTAGTTCTTTAGGTGAAACTGGATGAACAAGAAAAAGCCAACATCCGTGACAGGAATAGTCAGGTTTTCTCATAGGAAGGAGAAGCTTCTTGTCAGTTCCTTGATTCCATTTGGCTTCAGATTTAGCAGAACAGTGTTTTTAAAATATGCTGTTCATCTCTGCTTCTAGAAGATCAGTAGATAAGACTAAGTATAATAAAAATAAAAGATATTTTATTTCTGGGGTAGGGATGAAACCACCAAGTGTAACCACTCAGGGCATATGACCTGAGCTTTGCCTTTGAATTCCATTATCATAAAACCAAATTCAGAAAAAGGAAAAATCCAGCCATTTGAGGTATGATTACTTAAACATTTTGCCAAAAGAAAAGTATAAATATTATAAAACTGAAAATGCAAATTTTGAAGAAATAGAACATCTGGTGCCAATTGCTTATAATTATTTTGCAAATGATGTTTTTCCCAGTGGCATTATATTGTTCTAATTGATTTCCCAATATTTGACAAACATATAAACACACAGTGCATGCCAATCATTAAAATTACTCTAATAATAAAAACACCTCAGCATTCACACTGGTAAGCAGTGAAATTATTTGGCAGGTTAGTTATCAAAGAAATGTCTTGCTGAAGCTCATGCAGACATTTCTGGGCTATTCTTGTTGGAACAGACATGCAAGTGAGCAACCTGTGGTTGTATTTGTTGTGCCAGTGACACAAGGAAAAGTAGAAGAGGTTCTGGAATCAAAATGTAAACACCCAGTTAAGAAGTTGATGGTTTGAAAGTTTTCCAGACAGAAAGATGGAGATGCAGCATTTGAAGATGTAGCTGAGGAGATGAATATGCTCTGTGAAAAATGAATCAGCTTCATTAGAAAATGAAGGAATTCTTTAAATAAAGGACTAGGCAAAGGAGGAATAATAAAAATTAAATTGAATTACTGCACTTAAATATAGACAGAAAAGCAAGGAAAAGCTGTATTAGGTGAAGATACCTTCAGCTTCTGTGACTTAGACCTGTCTGGCCATATCAAGTTTCAAAACTATATGATTTTCTTTTACAGCTTCAAAGCAGATTACACCAACAGAGGAAAAAAGTCTTATTTATATAAGACTCTAATTTGTATACGTTATCCTACAGCCAGTTTATAACCATTGAATGTGCTGACCACAAAGCAAACCCATCACATATTTAAAGGAAGATGCCAGCAAGAAATGTGGTTTATAACAGACCTTGAGTGTGAGCAAGTTTCCTAGTAAGGGTTTTGATCAGAGTAATGATTTTTACTGTTTAAATAGTTAAATTGATGCAGTCCCTATGGTGAATATTTAGACTGCAATAAAATAAAAGCATGTTTATATAAGTAAGTTAACTCACCTATGGATATGTAAATATCTTCATACCTCTATAATGTTCCAGTCAGTCGTTATGTAGTTAAAGTAATTATGGACAAGGTCATAGGAACAAAGTTCTCTCTAATGAATTGCCTTTTACACTCTTGAGAAGTTCAGCACACAGGAATTCATGGATAAAATAAAGAGCACACCCTTGGAAAAATAGTTTCTCCTACATAATGATGAGGGAGAGATGAATTTAGAGTTTGGTCAGCAGAACAATCCTGCTGAATGTTTCCCCCAGTAGACTCTTCTGCTGTTTTGTTGGTTTGTACTGAATGTTGGTTCTCCACTGAATGTTCAGTCTGAGCTGGGTGTATTTGTACAAATCACCTTGCTGATTAAAGGTCAAGTTTTATAGGGCCTGAAAGGAATATCAGGGTTTTTCTTTTACTTTATAATCTTATTTACAATTTCACTGTTGCATTTCTCATTACTGCTGTCATCGCGGAGTTTGCAGAAGTGGTCCTGATATTTGTGCAGTAGAACTGAATACTACAGTGAATGTTGGTTTGCAAGACAGATAAGGTTCCAGTGAATCCATTCTTAAGGCATTGTGAGACTCCAGATAACACCAACAAAAATAGGTTTGGGAAAATTTAACAATAACATGCAATTCATATGATGCTGGTGTAACTAAAGCTTATTTCTGCTAAGGATAGTAACAGCAACAGAAACTTACTGTATTGACAAAAAGTACAGTAAATTTCCATCCTATGTGAATAAGTTATCTCTGTAAATGAGATATGTGAGTAAATATCAAGTCTGCAGGAAGAACCCCGTGTGTGTGCAATGTGTGTGTTTGTGTATGTCCAACAAGGACAAGCAGAAATAGAAACAGGATTTTGAGTTTGGGAGTGGTTCATACTTTCCGTCCCTCAATTTTCCCTAAATACTCTGGTGCCAAAGTGCCATCTCTGCATGTTCAGCAGTAATAGAAGCAAAAATCAATGGATTTCTTGTGAGTTTGCAAATCTTCATAGCACCATGTAAATGTCTGAGTTCGCTGAAAGATAAAGAAGGGTCTTTTACTTTTTGAAATATTTTGGTGCATGTCCAAACTGTTTGGTGCCAATGCCTTGCTGAATCTACTCTTGTAAGTATTTGCTGAAAATTGGAATGTACCTATTGTATAAAAAGAGTGTTGCCCTGTCTGCTGCACCACTGTTCACGGGGGGGTGGCAGTTTTTAAAGAGATCAAAATTTTATATTGCACATATATTATATATATACTGCATATATACAGCGCTTTATATTCATATTACATGGTTTGGAAAATGGCAGTGGCACATTTAAAATTGAATACATGTGCTAGACTTTATCAAATTCTCATTAATATTGCAGCCCTAACTTCTGCACTCAATAAGAAACATTGGCTTGGAAAGGACAAAAATCATTGACATAAAATTCAAAGAATGCACAGGAAAAGGTCTCTGTTGCCAAAAAGTTAAATTTTTTAAAAAAAATTAATATTCTGGTTTTTCTGGCTTTCAAAACTTTTTTTTAATATAGGCATTTTAATATTTTAAAGTAGACTTATGAGTTTTCATAACTGTGACTTAGCTTCCCTTGCAGGCCTTTCCAAAGGTTTTAACAACCTTACTTTATTGTTGGCAGTTGCATATTTGCTTCTAATAAGTTCCCACTCCAATTTGTTTCTCTTTTGCTATTTTAGGGATTTAATTCTACAGTTTAGTTTAGTACAAATTCAAATATGGTATCAAAGACCTGAGATACAAGAATTTAAATTCTTAGACCGGCCAGCTTGTCACTTTTTTTATGTGAGAAGTGAAGAAATTCTGGTTCCTCTGAAGAGGAAAACATATTTTAGCTGTAGGACTAAGCAGGCTGTGCCCAATGCCTTGCATAACCACAATACTTGGTGTGAATTTTGTTCTGTTTGTGTTTCCTTAAAACTTTCCCTGATTCCCCTGATGTCAATACACTTAATGAGTTGTAAATCAGTGCAAAATTTAGCTTCTACCTGAAGCGCTAAACCAACAAAAGCAAAGCAATTCTGAATTCACTAAATCTTAATGTTGTTTGAAAATAGTTTTTAATGGGGTTAATTTCTTTAGGTTTTTCTTTCTCTCAGGGTACTATAACTTGATTAATATAGTTTCCTTTCATTTTGACATTGTAACAGGGTCTCATTAGGCCTGCAATGAAATTGAATTGCCGTCATAATATCACATCATAAAGGCATATTAACAAAATCTCTATAGACTTCTATT